ACAGACCAGAGTCACAGACCAGAGTCACAGACCAGAGTAAGACCAGAGTCAGACCAGAGAGAGACCAGACCAGAGACAGACCAGAGACAGACCAGAGACAGACCAGAGACAGACCAGAGTCAGACCAGAGACAGACCAGAGACAGACCAGAGTCAGACCAGAGAGACCAGAGAGAGACCAGAGTCAGACCAGAGTCAGACCAGAGACAGACCAGAGACAGACCAGAGCAGACCAGAGACAGACCAGAGACAGACCAGAGACAGACCAGAGACAGACCAGAGACAGACCAGAGACAGACCAGAGACAGACCAGAGAGAGACCAGAGAGAGACCAGAGACAGACCAGAGACAGACCAGAGACAGACCAGAGACAGACCAGAGACAGACCAGAGACAGACCAGAGAGAGACCAGAGAGAGACCAGAGAGACGAGAGAGACCAGAGACAGACCAGAGACAGACCAGAGAGAGACCAGAGAGAGACCAGAGACCCAGAGACAGACCAGAGAAGACCAGAGACAGACCAGAGAGAGACCAGAGAGAGACCAGAGAGAGACCAGAGACAGACCAGAGACAGACCAGAGACAGACCAGAGAAGACCAGAGACAGACCAGAGACAGACCAGAGACAGACCAGAGACAGACCAGAGACAGACCAGAGAAGACCAGAGAGACCAGAGACAGACCAGAGACAGACCAGAGACAGACCAGAGACAGACAGAGAACCAGAGACAGACCAGAGAAGACCAGAGACAGACCAGAGACAGACCAGAGAGAGACCAGAGACAGACCAGAGAGACAGCCAGAGACCAGAGACAGACCAGAGACAGACCAGAGACAGACCAGAGACAGACCAGAGACAGACCAGAGAGAGACCAGAGAGAGACCAGAGAGAGACCAGAGACAGACCAGAGAGAGACCAGAGAAGACCAGAGAAGACCAGAGAGAGACCAGAGAGAGACCAGAGAGAGACCAGAGAGAGACCAGAGAGAGCAGAGAGACCAGAGACAGACCAGAGACAGACCAGAGAGAGACCAGAGAAGACCAGAGACAGACCAGAGACAGACCAGAGACAGACCAGAGACAGACCAGAGACAGACCAGAGACAGACCAGAGACAGACCAGAGACAGACCAGAGAGAGACCAGAGACAGACCAGAGACAGACCAGAGAGAGACCAGAGTCAGACCAGAGACAGACCAGAGACAGACCAGAGAGAGACCAGAGAGAGACCAGAGACAGACCAGAGACAGACCAGAGTCAGACCAGAGACAGACCAGAGACAGACCAGAGACAGACCAGAGACAGACCAGAGACAGACCAGAGACAGACCAGAGACAGACCAGAGACAGACCAGAGACAGACCAGAGACAGACCAGAGACAGACCAGAGAGAGACCAGAGACAGACCAGAGACAGACCAGAGACAGACCAGAGACAGACCAGAGAGAGACCAGAGAGAGACCAGAGACAGACCAGAGACAGACCAGAGACAGACCAGAGACAGACCAGAGACAGACCAGAGACAGACCAGAGACAGACCAGAGACAGACCAGAGAGAGACCAGAGACAGACCAGAGACAGACCAGAGACAGACCAGAGACAGACCAGAGACAGACCAGAGACAGACCAGAGACAGACCAGAGACAGACCAGAGACAGACCAGAGTCAGACCAGAGACAGACCAGAGTCAGACCAGAGTCAGACCAGAGTCAGACCAGAGACAGACCAGAGACAGACCAGAGTCAGACCAGAGACAGACCAGAGAGAGACCAGAGACAGACCAGAGAGAGACCAGAGAGAGACCAGAGTCAGACCAGAGTCAGACCAGAGTCAGACCAGAGTCAGACCAGAGTCAGACCAGAGACAGACCAGAGACAGACCAGAGTCAGACCAGAGACAGACCAGAGAGAGACCAGAGACAGACCAGAGACAGACCAGAGTCAGACCAGAGTCAGACCAGAGTCAGACCAGAGACAGACCAGAGAGAGACCAGAGACAGACCAGAGTCAGACCAGAGTCAGACCAGAGACAGACCAGAGAGAGACCAGAGACAGACCAGAGACAGACCAGAGTCAGACCAGAGTCCACAAACATCTCAGAGCTGTCACTGATGATAATGAGCAACACAGGAATGAGAACCGGGGGGATGGAGACTTCTGATCAGAGTCAGGAGTTTTAATGTAGAAAACACCATTATTTGACAGCAAAGGGTTTCACACAACAATGCAAACAATGAGTGATATTATTATCATTTATAATATCTGAAATGCAAACAAACAGAACATAGAAAATGTCTTTATCTGCAGTCAGGGAGTCCAGCCCTGCGGAGCCATGTGTGTGTGTGTGTGTGTGTCGGGATGGTGTGTCATTGCCGTCACAGTTCACTGCTCAGGCACAAAACACGCAGTGACTTCCTCCTCCTCATGATGATGGTAATAAGCAGATCTGGGTCAGCGCTGCCCCTTCTCTCTCACACACACACACACACACACATAGACAGAGACACACACAAACACACATCTTGTAGTGGTTGCCTCCTGAGGGGAGTCGTGACATTGTGCCGCCTCCACTCTCTCACTACAATAGCCCCTCTCTCTCTTTGCCTTTTTCCTTTTTCTTTCTCTGTCCGTCTCTCTCCATCCCTCTCTATATGTATCTGTCTCTCTCTCTCTCTCTGTCTCTCTCTCCATCTCTCTCTCATCCATCTCTCTATGTCTCTATCTCTCTCTCTTTCTCTCTCTCTGTGTCTAACATGAGACATTCCTGTGTGTACTCCACTGAGCTGTCCCTGTATGTCACCGAGTGTGTGTCTGTGTGTGTAAGTGTCTGCGTGTGTAAGTAAGTGTGTGTGTGTGGGTGTAAGTGTGTTTGGACATGTAGAAGAAACAAAATCTATGACAGGAAAGAGAAGCGCAGAAAAAACAAAAGCCCAAAATGGAGTTGGCAGAAGCTGGAACAGCTGCTCCCAAAACACCATCACCCAGATATTGTTATGATACTTATACATACATACATACATTGCTATATATATACATACACACGCACATACACATTTATCATACAGATTTAACATATACATACATACATACATACATACAGTGCCTTGCGAAAGTATTCGTCCCCCTTGAACCTTTCAACATTTCGCCATATTTCAGGCTTCAAACATAAAGATATAAAATTTAATTTTTTTGTCATGAATCAACAACAAGTGGGACACAATCGTAAAGTGGAACGAGATTTATTGGATAATTTAAACTTTTTTAACAAATAAAAAACTGAAAAGTGGGGTGTGCAATATTATTGGGCCCCTTTACTTTCAGTGCAGCAAACTCAGTCCAGAAGTTCAGTGAGGATCTTTGAATGATCCAATGTTGTCCTAAATGACTGATGATGATAAATAGAATGCTCCTGTGTGTAATCAAGTCTCCGTATAAATGCACCTGCTCTTTGATAGTCTCAGGGTTCTGTTTAAAGCACAGAGAGAACCATGAAGACAAAGGAACACACCAGGCAGGTCCGAGATACTGTTGTGGAGAAGTTTAAAGCCGGATTTGGATACAAAAAGATTTCCCAAGCTTTAAACATCTCAAGGAGCACTGTGCAAGCAATTATATTGAAATGGAAGGAGTATCAGACCACTGCAAATCTACCAAGACCCGGCCGTCCCTCCAAACTTTCATCTCAAACAAGGAGAAGACTGATCAGAGATGCAGCCAAGAGGCCCATGATCACTCTGGATGAACTGCAGATAACTACAGCTGAGGTGGGGATGGTGTGTTCAGGGTGATGAGCTGTGTTGCTTTTACGCCAAACATATCGTTTTGCATTGTGGCCAAAAAGTTTGATTTTGGTTCCATCTGACCAGAGCACCTTCTTCCACATGTTTGGTGTGTCTCCCAGGTGGCTTGTGGCAAACTTTAAATGAGACTTTTTATGGATATCTTTGAGAAATGGCTTTCTTCTTGCCACTCTTCCATAAAGGCCAGATTTGTGCAGTGCACGACTGATTGTTGTCCTATGGACAGACTCTCCCACCTCAGCTGTAGTTATCTGCAGTTCATCCAGAGTGATCATGGGCCTCTTGGCTGCATCTCTGATCAGTCTTCTCCTTGTTTGAGATGAAAGTTTGGAGGGACGGCCGGGTCTTGGTAGATTTGCAGTGGTCTGATACTCCTTCCATTTCAATATAACTGCTTGCACAGTGCTCCTTGAGATGTTTAAAGCTTGGGAAATCTTTTTGTATCCAAATCCGGCTTTAAACTTCTCCACAACAGTATCTCGGACCTGCCTGGTGTGTTCCTTTGTCTTCATGGTTCTCTCTGTGCTTTAAACAGAACCCTGAGACTATCAAAGAGCAGGTGCATTTATACGGAGACTTGATTACACACAGGAGCATTCTATTTATCATCATCAGTCATTTAGGACAACATTGGATCATTCAAAGATCCTCACTGAACTTCTGGACTGAGTTTGCTGCACTGAAAGTAAAGGGGCCCAATAATATTGCACGCCCCACTTTTCAGTTTTTTATTTTTTTTAGAAGTTTAAATTATCCAATAAATCTTGTTCCACTTCACGATTGTGTCCCACTTGTTGTTGATTCATAACAAAAAAATTAAATTTTATATCTTTATGTTTGAAGACTGAAATGTGGCAAAATGTTGAAAGGTTCAAGGGGGCCGAATACTTTCGCAAGGCACTGTACATACATACATTGCTATATATATACAAACACACGCACATACACATTTATCATACAGATTTAACATATACTGTACATACATACGAGTCCCTGTGTGTCCCTGTGAGTCCGTGTGTCCCTGTGTCCCTGTGAGTCCGTGTGTCCCTGTGAGTCCCTGTGAGTCCGTGTGTCCCTGTGTCCCTGTGAGTCCCTGTGGGGGAGGGACACAGGGTCTGGGGCCTGAGGGGTTGGTTTGTTACAGTGACTGGACTCGAAATCAGAGGATTTCCACGTCCTACATTCGACAGCAACATTCACACAGATGTTTGACCCAACAGACTGTGGACGAGGACAGAGGAGAGAGGAGAGAGGACAGAGGACAGAGGAGAGAGGAGAGAGGAGAGAGGACAGAGGAGAGAGGAGAGAGGACAGAGGACAGAGGACAGAGGACAGAGGAGAGAGGACAGAGGAGAGAGGACAGAGGACAGAGGAGAGAGGACAGAGGAGAGAGGACAGAGGAGAGAGGACAGAGGAGAGAGGAGAGAGGAGAGAGGACAGAGGAGAGAGGACAGAGGACAGAGGACAGAGGACAGAGGAGAGAGGACAGAGGAGAGAGGACAGAGGACAGAGGACAGAGGACAGAGGAGAGAGGACAGAGGAGAGAGGACAGAGGAGAGAGGAGAGAGGAGAGAGGAGAGAGGACAGAGGACAGAGGAGAGAGGACAGAGGACAGAGGAGAGAGGACAGAGGAGAGAGGACAGAGGAGAGAGGACAGAGGAGAGAGGAGAGAGGACAGAGGAGAGAGGACAGAGGAGAGAGGACAGAGGAGAGAGGACAGTCTCTCTATAGAAAGCAGTGTCTTATTGAGGCCATTGCTGATTTTCAGGCAGAACACTTTTACATTTATTTTCTTTTGTTCTTTTCTTTTGTTCTCACTCTCATTTATTTTTCCATTTCTCATTTTAAAACATGAAGAAAATTGTCTCTTTATAATTGTTATTGTTCTCAGTGACAAAAGGATTGACATGTGCTGTGATGCTGTATCGGACTGGTGAACAGGGAGCAGCGTCTGCAGTCAGAGCTCTGGATGGAGCCTGCGTTCTGTAGTTATCTGCAGTTCATCCAGAGCGATCATGGGCCTCTTGGCTGCATCTCTGATCAGTCTTCTCCTTGTTTGAGATGAAAGTTTGGAGGGACGGCCGGGTCTTGGTAGATTTGCAGTGGTCTGATACTCCTTCCATTTCAATATAATTGCTTGCACGGTGCTCCTTGAGATGTTTAAAGCTTGGGAAATCTTTTTGTATCCAAATCCGGCTTTAAACTTCTCCACAACAGTATCTCGGACCTGCCTGGTGTGTTCCTTTGTCTTCATGGTTCTCTCTGTGCTTTAAACAGAACCCTGAGACTATCAAAGAGCAGGTGCATTTATACGGAGACTTGATTACACACAGGTGCATTCTATTTATCATCATCAGTCATTTAGGACAACATTGGATCATTCAAAGATCCTCACTGAACTTCTGGACTGAGTTTGCTGCACTGAAAGTAAAGGGGCCCAATAATATTGCACGCCCCTCTTTTCAGTTTTTTATTTGTTAAAAAAGTTTAAATTATCCAATACATTTCGTTCCACTTCACGATTGTGTCCCACTTGTTGTTGATTCATGACAAAAAATTAAAATGTTATATCTTTATGTTTGAAGCCTGAAATGTGGCGAAATGTTGAAAGGTTCAAGGGGGCCGAATACTTTAGCAAGGCACTGTATATGTCGTATGTCATGTGTGTATATATGTCGTATGTCATGTGTGTATATATGTTGTATGTCACGTGTGTATATATGTTGTATGTCATGTATGTATATATGTCGTATGTCACGTGTGTATATATGTTGTATGTCATATGTCGTATGTCACGTGTGTATATATGTTGTATGTCATGTATGTATATATGTCGTATGTCACGTGTGTATATATGTTGTATGTCATGTATGTATATATGTCATGTGTGTATATATGTTGTATGTATATATGTTGTATGTCATGCGTGTATATATGTTGTATGTCATGTATGTATATATGTCCATCCATCCATCCATTTTCTTCCCCTTAATCCATTTCTGAGTCGGGGGGGTGGCAGTCAGAGCTGCACCCAGTACACAGAGCACCAGCCCCTCACTGATCCTCTGCAGGTGCTGAGTCCACAGGAGCTGAGATCTTTCAGTTGGGGCTTTGGGAAAAGTAGGGTTAAGTGTCTTGCCCAAGGACACAACGACAGCAGTCATCAGTGGGAGTCGTGAAGTAGGTCTTGGGCTCGAACCCACGACCTTCAGGCCCAAAGGCCAATGCTCTACCAACTGAGCTACTGTCGCCCTATATATGTCATGTATGTATATATGTCGTATGTCATGGAAGCAGATACGGTCTCCACATTCAAGGCCAGGCTTAAAGCACTCTACTTTAATTTAGCATATAATTAGGTCATATATAATATGTGGTGTATATATTATATATATATTTATATATATATATATATATATATATATATATATATATGCTGCATTATGTTATATATTATACAATATATGTATTATGTTGTGTATTGTGTTATGTTGTATATTATGTTATATATTATGCTGTATGTTATGTATTATCACAGCGCCTTAATGGCGAAGTGGCACGCTATTTGCCAAAACAATTTCCAAGTGGTAACTTTGTTTGTTACTTACGTGGCAATAACAATGATTCTGATTCTGATTATATATGATATACAGTAGGACAAAAAAGTATTTAGTCAGCCACCGATTGTGCAAGTTCTCCCACTTAAAATAATGACAGAGGTCTGTAATTTGCATCAGAGGTTCACTTCAACTGTGAGAGACAGAATGTGGAAACAAAATCCAGGAATTCACATTTTAGGATTTTTAAAGAATTTATTTGTAAATTATGTTGGAAAATAAGTATTTGGTCATTTCAAACAAGGAAGATCTGTGGGTCTCACAGACCTGTAACTTCTTCTTTAAGAAGCTCTTCTGTCCTCCACTCGTTACCTGTATTAATGGCACCTGTTTGAACTCATCTGTATAAAAGACACCTGTCCACAGCCTCAAACAGTCAGACTCCAAACTCCACTATGGCCAAGACCAAAGAGCTATCGAAGGACACCAGGAAACGAATTGTAGACCTGCACCAGACTGGGAAGAGTGAATCTACAATAGGCAAGCAGCTTGGTGTGAACAAATCAACTGTGGGAGCAATTATCAGAAAATGGAAGACATACAAGACCACTGATAATCTCCCTCGATCTGGGGCTCCACGCAAGATCTCATCCCGTGGGGTCAAAATGATCATGAGAACGGTGATCAAAAGTCCCAGAACCACACGGGGGACCTGGTGAATGACCTGCAGAGAGCTGGGACCAAAGTAACAAAGGTTACCATCAGTAACACACTACGACGACAGGGAATCAACTCTTACAGTGCCAGACGTGTCCCCCTGCTGAAGCCAGTGCATGTCCAGGCCCGTCTGAAGTTTGCCAGAGAGCACATGGATGATACAGCAGAGGATTGGGAGAATGTCATGTGGTCAGATGAAACCAAAGTAGAGCTGTTTGGTATAAACTCAACTCGTCGTGTTTGGAGGAAGAAGAATACTGAGCTGCATCCCAAGAACACCATACCTACTGTGAAGCATGGGGGTGGAAACGTCATGCTTTGGGGCTGTTTTTCTGCTAAGGGGACAGGACGACTGATCCGTGATAAGGAAAGAATGAATAGGGCCATGTATCGTGAGATTTTGAGCCAAAACCTCCTTCCATCAGTGAGAGCTTTGAAGATGAAACGTGGCTGGGTCTTCCAGCATGACAATGATCCCAAACACACCGCCCGGGCAACGAAGGAGTGGCTCCGTAAGAAGCATTTGAAAGTCCTGGAGTGGCCTCGCCAGTCTCCAGACCTCAACCCCATTGAACATCTGTGGAGGGAGTTGAAAGTCTGTGTTCACTGCTCTCGAGAAGATCTGCATGGAGGAATGGGCCAAAATACCAGCTACTGTGTGTGCAAACCTGGTAAAGACCTATAGTAATCGTTTGACCTGTTATTGCCAACAA